CTCTGCTAAAGTGAGCATTGGCAATGGAAGCAAAACGCCGAGGGCCGAAAGCAAACTGAGGAAAGACCAATCTTTGTCCTTGCTGTCCCCAGGCTCCAGTCTTCCAACGTGAAGCGGACTCGAGCCCACGGCTTGCAAATGTGGCGCTACACCTGCAAAGTCGTCTCTCTTCACGATGCGCTTGTCAGTTCACCGCCAAGATTGCCCATATCATCCTATACTAAAGCATTTGATCCAAGTGTGATAAAAACCTCGCTCTACTCCAAATCAAAAATTGAAAGGGGGCTGGGAAGTTGTCACAAGATGTAGCCTAAACTACTATCACAGATACGTCTGAAAGCGGTCGACGCCAAGCCAACATTAGCTTAGGAAACACAAAACTAACAAGAAGTTGTCGCTAACCCCGATGTCTGCATTCCCAAACAGGAGCGCAGTCCAACTTCTTAGGCGTCCGAAGAGAAAGGAACGAATAATCCGCTGCAATTCTTCTCTAAAGGATTAGGTCGTGGGGGCTCCATGCAACAGAACGAAACGAACCATGGCGGTAGGCAAGAACAGATTCAAAATAACGATTGTCAACCGGACCCACAAGGGTCGACGTGAATTTGCAGGAAACCTTTACGTGTTAAGATATGATTCTGACATACATTGCTCTCAGCTCTTTGCATAAAAACGCCCAATGTCTTCTCAGCAAACTGGACGAGTTTTGATCTTGTTAAACCTCAGTTTTTTGGGACCGCATCAAGGTAGCCGCCGTATGGATGCATGTCGTGAATACGGAAGCCTAGATCGCACCAACTTGTACGTCACTCTTGGGCCACGACCGACCCACACAGGGAGGCAGTGTAATTCTTCATGTTTCCGACCTCCTCCTCGACCGGGTAAACCTACCTAGGATTGAAACCTTGGACGCCTTATGGGGCTGCTTACAACTTTGCGGCAGGATGACGTATGTTTATTAGTCATCATGTACTGCCTACTTAGGCCCACTTTAGAAATGGAACAGGTCTTAGCCTCCGCTATGAAAATTTAATGCCACGAGCTAACAGCCACGTTCTCCAGGTAGAGGACCACGATCTTTACGGCCTAGAAACCCATGCATTCTCGGTGAACACTTCTAGGCAAAACTTTATTAACTAATCACTTGTTCATCCCTGTACAACCATGTCACTTCTCCAACACATTTCAGGACAGGAAACAGCCCGACAATCTTTGAAATGGTTTTTAATAACTAGGAACTCATGATCAACATTATATCAACATGCACAGCTTTAGGCTGCACTACCTGTGCTACGCAGAGTATCCTAAATAACAAACCGGAAAATCTGACATCGTATTCAACTGCGATAATTGGCCCGACCCCACTGGTGCAAAATGTTAGCTTTTTCTAGTGGCATATTCCCCTAAGGTGGCCTGCGGGGACTATGCCGACAGATTCAACATGCTCATGGCAAGCACACCTGAAGCTAAAATCTACTGACGTGAAGTAATGAAGTCTTTTCTAAGGAGCAAAACTCGGAAACGCTTGGCATTGTGGGACTTGGCAGAGCTCATCCGCATTACCTGTGCAAGCGAGGACACCCGGGATGTTTATACGACACAAAGAAAGCACTGTGTCAAACTCATCAAGAAGGATAAAGTGAAGAACCAACATGAACTTGTGATGAAACCGTTCTATAACCGTGAGCAACTATGCAGCTATGTAAATGAACTTTACAGGGTTAAACGCGGAATTCCTGATCCACACAGCATGCGGGTTAGCACATTTGGCACAAGAGACGGCCAGTGTTCTTAGACAACAATATTCCAAAGTGTTTAATTGTCTTTAAGTCTGGCCACGCAGATCATGCCACCATCAGGATTTTCACAACCACAGCTGTACTGAAACGTTTGAGATCCTTGCGCAAGTAAAACACCCTGGGTGCAGACAACATTCGTTTGAGGGCACTGAAAGTTACTGCCATGGATCTAGCTAAACAGTTAGTAAACTCTTAGCAATGTCTTAACGGGATGCAAGTCACCACGATGTAGAAGCAAGGGTTCATCACACCAATCTAAAAAGTTGTAGCCGTACAGAACCAGCAAATTATCGCCCGATAACAGTACTTCCAGTGCTGTGTAAGATCATGGAGTCCAGTGTAGCTGACCCTTTACTCGGGTACCTAGAAAGTATGAAAACTTCGTTCCGGAGCAGCACGGATTTCTCTAAAAGCGGTCCTGTGTGACTAACATGCTGATCGTTTGTACAAGCTGGACGGAATCTATGGACACCGGTAAAGGAGTACGCATTCGACCGCCAGAATTATTGAGTCGGCGATGACGTTCTGGATTGGATAGGCAACCTTCTTGCTCACCGTCACCTGAATGTGAGGATTCACAGCATCCTATACAAACCAGACGAAATTCAGTGCTGCCTACCTCAGGGAACAGTGCTCTGTCCCCGCCTATTTCTGGTCTTCATAAAAGATCTAACCTGCTTACTATCTACAAACTGTCTACTATTAGTCAATGACCTAAAGATACGGTTTGTTATCTCTACAGTGGAGGACCACACAGCTCAACAGGATGACCTGGATAAAGCGGACACATTGTCCATCGAAAACAAGCTGCGCTTCAGAGCCACCAAGTGCACAATTCTGCGCGTACGTCATCGGAGTACACAAAACTACTGGCTAGGGCCATAAGTTCTACAGATAGTCGCTTATAAGTACGACCTCGAGTTGCACGTGCATGACGACCTCGGTTGTTTGAGGGCCATTATAGAGGCTTAAAAAGAGCCAATCAGCGCTTCGATCTTCTTGGTAGAGCGCTCGGAAACTTTGACGAATCAGTCTTTCCGAAAATGCTTGTCGAGTAGTTGTGGCTGCATGCGGGATAGGCTATCCAAGCGTGGCAACCTAGGCAGAAGCCCCACCTCACCGCGCTGGATGCTGCACAACGCAGGACGACAAAGGACGTCAGAGTTTGTCTCGTCTTACCTGCACACTCACGCTGAAAACACTGAAACTGTACAGCGGCCGTTATCGGCGTCCTAAGGGGCGCTATCATAAGTGCGTATCAAATCCTAAATACCCCGACCACATATGCCACTCACTTTGGAAACTCAGTCAAAACACACTACTAAAGAATCACCGGTTTAAGTTGGCAAAACAGTACAGCCGACTTGAATGTCGACGAAACGTTTTATGCTTCTGAGTGTCACAGCTCAGGAGCGCTCTTCCGGTGAATGTAATTAATGCGCCCACCTTATCCCTGGATAAAAAACGCCTTGACACATTTTTACTACGTGATACAGACCATGACCGTCAGAGGACGACATCAGTGAACCGTGTCATAACCCCCCCGCAAACTCCAGGCAGGAATACTCACACATGTATTATTCCTAACATCATGCTGAGTCAGGTATCACTCGCGCGTACTTTTAGTGACACCGTCTTTTTAATTTGTCGTTGTTACTCCAACATTCCTACGGTTAAGATTAAGCAATCGCTTTTATACCAGTCATAAACCACTGCTACATCATTGTAGGAATGCGTCATTCCTATTGAAGTCACCAGCGATGACACAGAGGGAACGGTCGAACTTCGGTTGTAATTCCCAGTAGATCTGCAAGCATTTTCATCTGTGACGGTGCTGAATTAGACGCTACATAAACCTTCCCAACTACAACAGATAGAAAACCAGTAAGAAACGTTCGTGTACATTCCAGCATATGGTCACTTATTAAAGCCATTGTGTAATCGGAAAGATATGAAATCGTGGTTCAACAGTCTTCGCTAATGTACTTGCTCACACGTATTCCGTCGTACTGAGACTTTCCTTGGCGGTCGAATCTGATATTCGTATTTTCACGATATAATCTTCAATGTCAAGATGTGACCAATATTTTTGTAATATTACTAAAGCTGCATTTGATAATACTGCCTAATATAAAATGCTGTCGAGACCTACATTTTTCTAGACAGGATAAGCGGAATTAGTGCAGTGTTGACAGGACAGCGTCGGATTGCAGCTTATCAACCAGTAAGGCGTATTTGCCTTATCCCCAAATTTTTCGTGACTATTCTTTTGAAGGTATTTCTGCTTTTCTGGCCATATTTGACTATAGGTGAAATTCGGACAAAGTCGGGCTATGCAACCACACAGCAGATACTCCAAATCCAACATTGAATTGCTTACCGTTGCTCACGGATCTTAGAGGTATAGTGATCAAGATGTCAGCTGTTAAACACCAAGCCCCGTGTTTCACCGCAGCTCAGACTTTCTTCATCTGACGCGTCCAAACGAGGAGGAATCCGTTTATGGGATGTCAGATTTAAGAAGAGCAACACCGAAACACCACTTCGTATACGATCTTTGTAATCGGAATGACCGAGGTCTACTTCATATTGAACTGAGGTATCAATAGTGATTGTGTGTCGCAATCCAACCGCACGGCGGGTACTCCAATCCCAAGGTTGAAATTCGGACAACTTCTCGGAGCAAAACTAAACAGTGAATAGAGTAAGTCACCCTTTTCGCTCTTGAATTGGTTCAGTTAGACAAATTGAAAATAAGCTACATAAACAAGCAGGAAAGAATATCGACAGTGAGTAGCGTAGAACACAGGTCCAAGCACAATAGCAACGACCGAATTTGAAGCTCCTCCAACTCCATATTTAGAATTCTCAGTCGAGATACCGCGCACAGTTCGCGACTGGTTGTTATTGGCCACCGACTTTTAGGCCATAGCTGAAGAAATGGTTTCATAAAACGCTACTCTGTTAGTCGGAAAAAGCCCGGGGATTCTGCCTGCCAGTTTGCGCCCAGCGCACCAGAACGCGGATCCTTTTACCCGAATCCTGACACTGCACCCTATTCCCCTTTCTTTAGTCATTTATGAAAAATATTTTTGTTGATAATGTAAAGCGTTGAATATGCACCCATCCAGGTGCATAAGGTTTACATCAACTTACCTTGATAAAAACCAGCAAAACGGCTGCCGATTACGCACATTGGAGTTACGGCGTGCCCCCAAACCGTTCTTTAGGAAAAGGGTCACGCTTCGGACCTATGTAGGAGTCTGTACATACCATGAGAAGACAAGGTGTCTTTTATTTTCTCAACCTAAGTTCAAATGAGTGAGTGTAGCGGTCCAAAAAGACAAAAGATGCCGGCGGTTTGAATACATTTTTCTTCATTGTCGCTGGTTGCACAAATCTGGTAGATATTGGACCGTCCATGGGAGATTTTTTCATTGTTGATGTATGTCAGACAGCCAATTATATCCCGATTCTTCAAACATATATTGGCCACAACATATTCATTAACACCAAGCATTCCGACACTATCATTCACCTCCAAATGACACCAAAAGAAACTGCGAAGACAACAATTTGGTCTGATTATATTGCCATCAACTATTTATAACAACTATTGTGATAAGATATTTGAGCGAATGAGAGTGTCCAAGCTTAGTTCGAGGGTGTCGCTGCACTCTCACGCCCAACCTTTAGCATCACAGCTTTAACTAAGCATCGATCTCCCGACTTGTTAGTAGTACTCTGTATTCAAAGTTCGCAGTCTGCAATAATACGTTGAATCATCTCGCAGAAAAGCATCACCCAACAAGGCAAGTAACTGAATGTCAAAAGAAGGGACTTTAAGTGCGTCACAAGATGTTTACATAAGCTCTGTTCCGTCTTCCCTATGACATTGTGGACAGATGTATAAGTTGTCGACTACCTAAATTTAAAGTAAGTCAGTTATTTTCAACGATTATTCGGCATCAAAGTATCAGCGATATCAGTATGATATCAGTAGGTACTTGAATTGAAGCATCTATGGGTGGCAGAGGCTAACGCTTGTTGGGGAGGGGTGACGTAGAACCTAAAGTGAAAAGGTGAGCACTATTCTAACAGCAGGAGAACAATGTCAAGCATATTGTGTGTTACTGCAGCAGTTCACTTCAATGAAAATCACGGTTCACATTGATAATAAGCGTCACAACACATTCACACAACAAGTACTTAAAAATTACCTGCAAATAAGATATTAACCGTTGTGCTAAGCGTTGCCTGTCGTAACTCGGTGCCTAGGGTAGAGGCTTTGACTAACAACCCAATGGACCCGGTTGGAATCCTGCTAACGCTAACTAATGAGGTCGGATAAGGACGAAACTCATCGTGGCTTGCAGTGTTTTCGAGCGGATAACACCCAAAATCTGCTGGCTTCATCCTTTTAAAGCATACTGTCTTTACATGATAATATTATTAACGGTTATCAATTGATTTATTTTAATTCACGTCTCCTAGACAGTTAGGATGGGCATCTTAAGGGTATTTCAAATAAATTATATTGGCACGGTCGTTTGACGAATAGTCATAAATCGCGATAGGCGCAGATTTTGCACCAACCGCTGTCGAAGAATTTCGACTTGATTACCCCTGTTGAAATTTAACGGCTACCATGAGACCAATCAATAAACTTGATGTTGGGTAGCATAGTTTAACATGTATCTTTTAGAAGGTACTGGATAGATTAACTGTATGAACGGTCCCTCCTAGCCCCCCGATCTATTCATCCCAGTCAATCAGTGATCCGAATAAGTGGACACTGTACTGGTGTTTGCAAAGTCGAAAATTGCATTCACAAGGATCACTGCCAATTGACAGGAAAGCGAAACTTATACTGACAACCTAGCCAGAGCATTCTCCTTTAATCTGCAGTCGACTCAGCTTAGTCCTACCCATATCCATGAAGATTTGTCATGGGAACTCTGTGATATGTAAGACTCTTTTTCGCGATTCACCATGTCAATTAATCATATGCGCGAAACTATATTGACCTCTCTGTTGCTCTGTGGTCGAACCAATTGTAAAAATCTCTGCCCTCTCCTTATTTTCCTGAGTGGAAGCCCGATAGATCCGCAAACTGGTAAACGTGCAAACTGCGGATGAGCAAATGTTCCTTCTAACTATTGTTACAAAAGGACAGGTTGGTTATTGGACAGCATGTCTGAAAAATTGGTGCCGTGGCTTGATATGACCACCGCTTACTGTCGTTGTGAGTGGGGCGCTTCGGGTTTCACCAGTTCAGTTGTGAGAGACTTAAGTGTCCAGTTGCTGCTTTATGATTTTTGTAACATCCTGCCTTCAATTAGTCTACCATTATTACTCAACATCCCTTAATCAATACGTTATCTGCGTGCAACTCCTATTTCTTAACAATTATCTTGGAGATATTAGTGGTAGCAAATGGATTCACTTCAAACTGGTGCTTGGATAATGCCTGTCTACCTAGACTGAAGTGAAATATGAGCTACTACTAGATTTACAGTTGTTGCTTTTAGTGGGGAGAAAAATTCACTCTCTTAGTTCTCATAGATAAAATGCCGCATTTGAAACCATTTTCCGTAACATTGTTTGGAACACAGGAAATAAAAGCGCATATCAAACCTGTACTATAAGCAATGTGAATGATTATACAAACATTTATGTAGGTTTACCTGGATACGAAAAACCAACCAAGTATCAATGCATGAGGTGCGAACTGTGTTGAAAACAAATAATTGTAACGTACCGAAAAATACGTTTCGTCGATTCGCTTTTGCCAATAATTGTTTCGGAGGAAGTCCCAACATTTCCATAATACGGGAAAGTTGTTCAGCCTCGTTCTCTCCAGGGAACAACGGTTGACCTGCATAGTTGTTATTCCGTGATAAGACGATGTCTTATTCAAAACACAATCGGAAATTATTGTCATATAATTCATTTGAATAATAGTTCTCGGGATCATTTATGTGTCAATGGAATGATTTTGCAATCCATTTATGCTGTGGAGATAAGTGAGGCTGGCAGAGTAAAGTATTTACAAGCGGTTAGTTTGTTACTGTGTACTCAGGTATTATAGCTTCAGTTGGCGACTTAATTCAGCATCTTTAAAAAATAATCTAGAAACCTATCAGAATAAAATACGGTGTGCTTACCCATATACAACTCTGGGAGAATGCATCCGAAACTCCAAATATCGATGGGTGGTCCATAGGGGAGACCAAGAATAACTTCAGGAGCCCGGTAAAATCGAGATTGGATATAAGTGTATACTGCAAAGAAAGTAAAAACAAGGTATGGAAATTTAATGTCACGTCAGTTTTTCACTAATGATCAACAGTAAAGAAGGAAAATAGTTTGAACAAATTTACAGTAGCTGTAACCCCGTTGTATTATGCATTTCAACTGAACAACATGCCTTGCTAAATTCTCACCTACTAACATCGGTGATTTCCTTGTTTGTATTACATGTGTAATGGTGTGTCAACTCACCTACAGAACAATTACTTTCCGGTAAAGCTTTCAACGCCATGGAAACTCGTTGGCAATAAATCACACTCATGAGTAGGGGATTTTGATGTAATTATGTGAGGTCCATCGCAGCCAGTTTCCAAACCAGATAGTCGTCCACATGCCCGGAAAAGCATTAGACTGCAGTTTCAACCTGTTGGGCGTCGTCAGTAGTGCGCATCCATCGGATCTGTCAGGATTCGTACCCATGACCAATAGCGGCTTGAACCGCCAGTCAGCAGCTTATGCCACTGGGCCACGGGGGACAGCTTCGTACCGTCATGATTTACAAGATAACTGTGATACAGCGCGTCTTATCTTCCAGTGCCACGCAAATTATGAAAGTTGCAGAGGACAGGGTTGGCCCCGAAAGACACGACGTCTACTAACAGTAGCTATGTACGACATAGCATTTAGAAACTGTCAGGGCGGATATAATTTGATGAAGTCATGGCACACTGTTTGTAGAAATAATTTGGATTACCTTAGAATGTCATTCAAATGATTATTCACTTGTCGCTAAGAGTTAATTTGACTCAGATTGCATATTCCAGTGTGGGATAAGCTAAGTAAAAGTAGTTTGGACCATGTTTACTTTTTTTCCTACGAACCCAACGAGTTGTTCGTGGACCAACTATGACCCAGGTGTATCATTTTAAACTTAGGCAACATTCGCGACATTCAGAGATGCTTAATGTAATATTAACATCATAGACAAGTTTGGACCATAAGCTTCGGATTGGGCAAACAAATTTAAAACAAGCACACACAGAGCCATCGGATTGCTTGAAGCACCATGAAGAACAAGGGACTAGCATCAACTTGTGCATGTATTCATTAAGGCATGTGGAAATTCATGTCTAGAATATGTACACAAAAGTAAATCATATTTAATGTTCAAATTTCTTGTTGCTTGTGTTTATTCATATCATCGGAGTTAAATCGGTTGCGTGTGTATGCAAGTGCCTGACGTTCTAAAGGGGGCGATTAATTGCCAGAGATTTTGGACCATGGGATTAGCTGTGTCCATGAATTCTCTGACCATTCTACCAGAACTGTTTCTTGTTTATAGTCGGAGTATAAATCCGTCACTTGAAATCTTACCGAACATTGTATTAAGGTATATATCCATTGCTTGATTCCGTGGGTAGAGAACTGAAACAGAGGCCGTGGTCACATTATGTTCAAGCCCGGTGTTCAACAGGTAGATTTTATAATTAAGCCGAAGTATGTAGCACCCAGATGAAACTGAGTACATTGTTTTCCTCTCACGAGGAAGCAATAGTGCCCTCATTTGCCCAATAATTTCAGGAAACCAGATATATAAAAATGTTAGCTAGTCAATTGCAGTCCGATGGATCCATTTTTTGCACAACGGTTGTTCGAAATATTACGATATGTTTAGCTACCGAAAATTATTGTACACAGATGATAAAAATCAGGTTTGTTACTCTGACTTGTCAATTATTACGTATATTTTTGGAAATGAGAATGCTAAATGGCTGAGATTCGATCAGCTTACAAGGTTAAATGCATTGATTAACAGTCCAAAGCACGAGTTGGAATCCACTCGATTTTCTTAACGGCCTTTACATTTTAAATTACCACAATTGCAATTTGGATCAAGTTATCTCCGTAACAATGGTTGATAACCACACTTACCGCGATGTATATGAAGCGGGTAGATTAGGTTTGTTGCCAACTCCTAACACTGCACTCAACAACAATCTACTTGCTTGTAACCATGTTGCTAGGCGTTGGTTAGTTACGCCTCTATTGGACAACGGAAACCTATGTATCCGTCCTCAAGCTGCGTTACTCTCACCGGAACTTATTGCTGTACACATTATAGTATACGGATACTATCTAAATGCTTTCGACCTAAACTTTGATAATGGAGTGAGTAATTCTGGTTTACGCGCATTGTATCCTTTCGGAAACCTCCAGCAGTGTGCATTCCATCGGACTCTGGCAGAGCTCGAACCCGCAACTCGAATATTTCCAGTCCGTGGCTGTAGACAATGAGCTACGGGATACGGCAACGAGCATCGTAAATAAGTTACCATTCCATTTCCAGGCCAAGTTGTCCTCTTGGGCAACAGAAATAATCTGAAAGGACATTCAGCAGGAGTCTACACAATTAATTTGTTCCGTGCGTACGCCAGTCACTTGTGCAGGTATATAGGTGTGCGTGTATAGCCCGGCGTCTTCAGCCAATAGGACCTCAGACGCATTAAGTCATTGGGGTGCAGGAGGGAAGCTTTAGCTCCTACGCACAGAACAAGTTAATTGAGTAGACTCATGTTGAATGCCCTTTCAGATTATTTCTGTTTCCCAAGAGGACAACTTGGCCGGGAAATGGTGTAGACCTGATATAGTGCCGCTCACTATCCACTGATTGTTGACTGAGTAAGTATATACCATCTTAAAGGCATGTTAACGTATTGTACCAAGCTTCTAGCGTGGCACATTTTCGAAATCACGTGAGGTACTTTCAAGTTAGCGAGGCTAAGAACGCTGTTTTGGCGTCGTTGACAATCTAATTGGTCACGGGATCTTAGCCAATGAGACACCGTTTGGAAGCCCCCAGCATATGCGACAGCCAGTCCAATGAAAGTGGCCAAGCACCACCTGTTCTGAGTTCAGAGAGGTTTGGAAACTATCAGTTGGTATAGTATTTTGGTAACGTTTCGCCTTTAACATAAAGGCTTCGTCAGACCAGGTGAATCAGTGTGCAATTTGTGTGGGATTTTATAGCGAACAGGGGTGATAACCGCGTTACCCGAGTCTTGAGCCATGAGTCATTACAGGAACAGTTCGGGATGTCACCTCAGGTGGTTTAAACGCAGTGGGAATAGTCCAGGTGTTCCTTTGTGCGTCATGACATTGACGGATAAGCCTATAGTGTTGACAATGGGAGTCGGTTTGCACTTTTCAATCTGATCCATGCATCGATGCTCGTCAAGCTGGCCGGCCTAAAACTGTAGAGGCCATTAGGAGGGGGCATACGATCAACATTCTAGCGGTTGCTCGCCGAGGCGGTGGAAATTGCCACATCTGATGACTGCGTGAATAGAATTGAGGTGGTAGAATTCCCTAATGCATGGCGGACGGTTTTAAGCCGGCCAGCTTGACGAGCATCGATGCATGGATCAGATTGAAAAGTGCAAACCGACTCCCATTGTCAACACTATAGGCTTATCCGTCAATGTCATGACGCACAAAGGAACACCTGGACTATTCCCACTGCGTTTAAACCACCTGAGGTGACATCCCGAACTGTTCCTGTAATGACTCATGGCTCAAGACTCGGGTAACGCGGTTATCACCCCTGTTCGCTATAAAATCCCACACAAATTGCACACTGATTCACCTGGTCTGACGAAGCCTTTATGTTAAAGGCGAAACGTTACCAAAATACTATACCAACCGATTGTTTCCAAACCTCTCTGAACTCATGACTACTCGATCGGTTCCAAGTATCTTTCAAGAATTTGAAACCACCTGTTCTATTTTGATGCCTATCTGAAGGAAACCTCAATGATTGGTCACCAAACTGAAACCGTGATGCCTGTCTAAGGAGGGGATCCTAGCTACCACATGATCCGAAGCTTACACCGTAACCAGTGTGAACAGACATACTAATCAGCAAATGAAGCGGTCTCTACTTAGTGATCGCTAGCGGCTACCCGGTGGTGGCTTATTCAGCGGCCTAACCATGGTGGCGTAGACAGTCAATCTTCTAACTGGTATTCTGCAGTTCAGCAATTACTGCTAGGCGGTTATACAGTTTTGTGCGCTTGTTATTGAGACGATCATGGGAGACATTGTTCCCACTGAATTTGGCAGACCAACCTGAAGCTGAACAAATAAAGTTCTAGGTTTGCTTACTTCTATCACGGTTGATGATTAGACACAGACTAAGAGGATTCCAAGTGTGGCCTTGACACGACGTTAGTGTATAATGACTTGTCTCCACACCCATGGACGAATATGTTAATTAGTTGTCGCTTCAGTGTCTCCATTTATGGCCTTATGTAAAGGTCATAGGAAACTATGTATGCATAGGATAATAAGGCTTGACTTCCACATGGTCGCCCATGCGTGTTGAGACGCTTTGACAAGTGGCTCTCCGAATGACACCATTAGAAGCACAGTCCATTCAGATAAAACCTCCAACCCTTGCAGACTGTTTGAAGAGAAGCTTTGAAGGTTTACGGGTTGATTGCACGGTTGCCTTCATTGCTCGCTTGCCTATCTGGCCACAGTGATACCGTATGCACAGTGTAATCGTGCCAATGCGAGTACTCTGGAGAATCGCCAGATGTGCGATTTCGTTTAGGATATGCGTGTGGTTGTTAAGACAGTGTGAGGTAATCAGAAACAATGCAGTAATTTGTATGAAGGAGATAAATCAAGGACTTCTTCGCAAATAGAACTGTTAAAGCCTTTACAGCTACAAAGTTCTCGTGCTCTGTTTGTTCAGTTGGCCGTAAACTCATGTGAATAGTGTAGCTACGTACTGCTGATGTATTTGGCGCATTGTATATTACGGTAAAGTTCGCTGTGTAGGTAAGATCAGCAGTGGATCTGTAGCCATTGGTTCAAATATGAGGGTTCCTAGTGTGACGGTGACACGACATTAGTGAGTGTTCGTTCGTCTCCACACCTGTGCGCCACTTCGGTAATCAGTTATCGCTACAGGACCCATGGACCTGCCGTTATGTTAAGGTCGTAGGATGCACGTCAATCCTGCGTTTCA